CATGTAAAAAAGTTTCTGCTGGAAAATGTCTCGCACATATACGGATTTTTTTATGTATTTCGTCGTAACTACGATTAGCTAAGGAAGGATTGTTGATATTTGCGATCCATTTTTCAATGATTGCCATATTAAGGACATTTCTCGGATTTGGAAAACGAAAACGACTGCTATATTTATCTTCACAATTTGGAACGCAACACTTCAATTTTACTTTGGACGGTTTCTTTTTACCAAACATAAGAGACATTTTAACGCAAAATAAATACGAATACTAAATACAAATAAGAACGAAACGATACAAACGACTAAATACAAAAAAATACGTACAGAAATGAGTGTTTTTTCTCAACGGTCTTAAACGCTTTTAAAATTCAAATTTTGAATTTTTGAATTTCAAAATGACAAATGCGATACGACAAAACCAACCAACACAAATCACTGTCAACAGAAACCTGCAAATTTCTTTTATCTCCCGACAGTGTCGCCATCGTTGACTGAAAACCTAACTAAAAACCTTCGTCTCGAGTCTCCCATTTGAGACATTTTTCTATAGGTGATATGTTCTGTGCCGGTAATTTTCATTTGTTCTTTCTCAGTGGTAATTTACCGGTAATTTTGCGGTTATTTTGGTAATTTTGGTAATTTTGGAAATATTTTATGATTCATGAAAGAAACAATTATGACTATACCGGGTGTCTACGAGATCAGTTTCGCGCTGACATTTGCTGGTTTTTTTTTCGATGGCAAATATTTTTGGTATGTAGTGTAGGTTTGAGAAATGTCATCTTTTGACATGTGTGTCAATGTTTGGTAACTTCCGGTTTGACCGGAAATGGTCCTAACTCCGTAATTTTGAATGGCATCCCAATAATTTTTTCACATTTTTGGTATCTGCGGATCATGATGTGTACGAAAACGTCAAATTTGAACATTTTTGAAGAAATTTCAGAACTCTGGATGAAAATTTATTTTTGAACAGGAAGTGACAGAGCGGTCTCAAAATTGTTATTTTCAACCAACACAATCGTAGAAAAATGCGAGTGCCAAGATGTTATCTTTTGCTTGTTCTCCAAAGGCTTCCAAAGCTGAAAAAATCACATTTTACGTGATAACTCAATGAAATCAGTGAAATCACCCGACTTTCATAACAAATGTTTTTTACCTTTTTGAAAATAAGACCAACTATGCATTAAAACTTTTTATTCATGCCAGTTTTTAATTATTTTTCCAATATTTTTATTATGCATTACTATAACTGATAAAACTACTTATAAATAAACCCCTGTATTCAAACTTTGTATTTACAAATTCCCGAGATGTCAAACAATGACAAATAAACATATCTTGCCCACAGATCTTGTCAATGGCTTGTCAAGAAAAAAAAAAACACCAGCTCCTTTTGGAAAGCGTTCTTCATACAGGGTTCATTTATAAGTAGTTTTATTCATTGACACACATGTCAAAAGATGACATTTCTCAAACCTACACTCTATACCAAAAATCTTTGCCATCGGAAAAAAAACCAGCAAATACCAGGGCGAAACTGATCTCGTAGCGTAGACACCCGGTATACTATACCTACCTATACGTTCAAGGATTATAGATTTTCAGGATGTTTTACCTAAACACCCATTTATTATAAATTATAATATTGTTTTTTGTAAAACATAACCTCTTAGAAATATTACAATATTTAAACAAATAAACGAAATTACAATATTTAAACAAATAAACGAAAAACAAGCAAAGAAAATCAGACAAAAATAAAATAGAAATAAATTCTCCTTAATCTGCCCTTTATAAAGGGCAAAAAGAAAACAAATAAATAAAATGAGTTGAATAAGGATAGCATAAGAGATTTTTTTGGGGGTTTTTGAAAATTTCTATTGGTTTTTTTGGGTTTTTGCAAGAGTTGTGCTTCTGTAGGGTTTTTGTGTTTTAAGGTCTTTGACATTCCAAATGATAATCTCTAACTTAGAACTCAACAAAAACCAACCAGGTTTTTGAAATAGGTTTTTCCTACGAGCACAATGTTTTAATTCAAAATATAGGTACTATGTACTTATTTTTCACTTCAAATGAAATTACTATACATATATCTATAGGTACTATTTTCCATTGAGAAAACCTAGATCTCACACAGATTTTTGATAAATTAGATGTACAAAAATACTTGTGGAAAAACATTACACCTAACTTCTGCGGAAAATGTCTTTTTCGCCCTTGACAGCTTGCCAACTGCAGTCGCGTGGGGAAAAGCACCACTTTCCGCACTTGTTAGGTAAATATTTTTTATTTTTTTATTTTATTTATTTATTATACGGGATAACCCCATTAACAGCAAAATTACAACAAAAAATAATAAATTGGTTAGGTATATACATTATAAAACCTGCAGCAAGTAAGCGTTAACACTAAAAGAAAAACAAGAAACAACAAAATTTAAACTTAACGAAAAACAATCTAAGCTACCTAGAAAAGAAAAAAATATATATACAGTGAGGACATAAAGTCCGTCGCCCCCCCTCTAACTTTTGAACCGCCCGGTATATTGCAACGAAATTTTGAATGATGATATGTGACTAGATTCTCCATGTTTTGAAAATCAAATGACAGCTTCAGCTGTCAAAATGACAGCTAGGTGCAGTTTTGGAACGTTTTTTTAAATAGAAGGCGGTGTCGAATGATATATCGTTTTAAAGGTTTCTTTATTCTTAATTTAATCCCTGATTCTGAAAACATTTTGTTTAGCGGTTTTCAAATGATGACGAAAAAACAAAGGCTTGTTTTGCTCATAAACACTCATGAAAAAAAAAAATTAAAAAATTTTTATCGCTTTTTTATTCATTATTGTCTTTTTTTCAGTAATAATAATGACGTCATGACATTGGTAACTTAAATAATGAATAAAAAACCGATAAAAAATATTTTAATTTTTTTTTTTTATGAGTGTTTATGAGCAAAACAAGCTTTGGTTTTTTCGTCATAGTTTGAAAACCGCTAAACCAAATGTTTTCAGAATCAGGGATTAAATTTAGAATAAAGAGACCTTCAAAACGATATATCATTCGACACCGCCATCTATTTAAAAAAACGTATCAAAACTGCGCCTAGCTGTCATTTGTTTTCCAAAAAATGGAGAATCTATTCACATATCATCAATCCAAATTTCGTTGCAATATACCGAGCGGTTCAAAAGTTAGAGGGGGGGCGACGGACTTTATGTCCTCACTGTATACATACTTAAGGAGAAAAAAAACAAAATAAAAATAAAATAGATTAACCATCAATCAACAAAAACAAAATTAATTAAAATAATACTGCTCCACACCATTATTTTCATAACAAAACTGCCCTTTTAAAAATCCCTATCGATACATTAAAGACATCAATATCATGACAATTAATTAAAGACATATACCTATGTAAAGGGCTGTTAACCCCATATGTTGTCCTAAATAACTATTCATTTATGCCAACCCTAAAAGCGCGTTACAGATTCACAATTTCACAACAAGATGGCGAATAATGCATTGAGTAGTATTGTCGCCTGAACGTGATTTCATTCAGGAAGCATTTCTGAAAATTACCGGTAAAGAAATTTGTCGGGTTAAATTACCATAATTACCTTACCAAAATTACCGTTACCGCGGTAACGTTACCACACTTTAATCTCTAGTGTCATATTTCTGTACTTTCACATTTTTTCGCAATGTATATGCCTGCCACGGACAAGAATAGTTATTTATACACCAAGTGAGTTAAATGAATGTTTATCCCATTATGACGTTTAAAAATGACATTATTGAACACATAACAATAAAGGTGAGTAGACGTTTATCACCTCAGTGATTAAAAAACATTTTAACTCACTTTCGGCATTTTAAGTCACTCTGCCCAACTAAAAGTGTGACACCTCAGTGATTTAAAATATTTTTAACTCACTCTCGACATTTTTATTTGTACCTATTTTATTTTTTAAATTTCCTGAAAATGGGATAACATTTTGTATACATCACGCTAGGGCTCGTGGGTTAAACTTTCTTCTCATGAATAAAAAAATATAACGTCCCACAATGTCATTTTTTGAAAATTTGAGTTTTTCCAAAATGACATCAACACACATTTTGACTCATAATTTTGTTAATTTCAATCCGATCAAAACGTGATTAGGCTTGAATTAATGCAAATCAAATCCTTATAAATCTATCGTTTCAATAATTTTGCAGCTGCTAAATTCTCTAGGAACTCATAGGACACCCAAACATATTGACAGTTTTAAGCCTCAAACTCCAAAATTCAAGATTTTGAAAACACAACATCAAAAATTTTAAAATTTTATAAAAACTCATTTCTCAAATTCAAGCCTCTCCAGAATCTTAAGACGTTTAAATATTTTAAAACCTTTTGATTTAAAGTCTTTGAAAGACTCTAGAGACGCTGAAAAATGTAAAATAATTAATAAATTCTTTGTCTATTTAATTTGAAAAGTGTTATTTCTTCCATCATACACTTAAAAATTATGTAAAACAAATTGTACCTTTTTTCAGATATTTGGACATTGCACGTAGGGTGTTTAATCCGCAGATCCCCAAAGCTCTATATTACTTTTTCACTTCAGAAATAACGTTTATAAATTTTTGCTTTGCTCAACGAAATTGCGGCTATTTGCTTGTAAAGCGTTCAATTTATTCGAATCGACGAGGGGAGAAAAAGCGAAATAAAGATTTTCAAAGTAAAATCTATACTTTTACTGTGTATGTTGATTTTGTATATTGAGATCATCGCTGCAAAGTTTGTATTAAAAGTAAACATTTCCAATACATAATGAACTTCAAAACAATAAATCACCCTCATAGCAGAAACAATGATAATAAAAAAACAACCATCAGACATTCTCATTACCATTTAGCTCCAGCGCTCCAGTTTCCTTTTTCCGGGCGACAAAACTGGAACAATACAATAATACAAAAGCGGCACTAATTGTAATTTATTTGCAGATGTTGCTGTGGACGTACACTAGAACAGCACAAATTCCTAACGGACCCCAATCCTATGGCCCCGGGGGAAATATGGTACCCCAGCAGATGTACCGTGGCTCATCCTACTGATGCTTATGGTACTTTGGAATTTCAAGGCGGACCTCATCCTTCAAAAGCACAAGTAAGAAATTTCTTTCAAATTAATTTCACTTCTTTAGGCTCTATAAGCCTTTTATAATACATATTTCACCTCGAAAACAATAGCGTCAAAAAGAATATTTGGTTAATTTATTCCGAATAGATATTCTTGAGAATCGGAGAATTCTGAATCGGTTTCAACGTCTTATTTTGGCGAATAAATTGTCATGGCATCGTGGCAAAATGAGACTGGTAAAGTATTTTGCTTATTTTCGTTTTGTGACAATTTTATATGTTTGTGAATGGAAGGAAATGTAGAATACAAATTGGGTGTTTACTGAAAAGCTGTATTTTTATGGAGATTTGTAGAAAGGGTCCTTTTTAGGTGCAAAAATTTAAGAAATATGTATATTAGATTGCTGTTTTAATTTGGAGTTTTAGTTCTAATTAAGTTTATCGCAGAGGTTTTGATGAGACGTTCTCAACCATTAGAACCATCAGATGCTGTATGTGAACATTTTAGAACTGAAAGGCATTAAAACTCTATTCTCGGCACTCCTCGTAATTATAAAGTCTTTCAATGTCGTTTTTTGCAAATTTGAGTCTTTCCAAAATGATATCGACGCACATTTTGACTCACAACTTCGTTAATTTCAATCCGATTTCATCGTAATTGGTCTTAAATTAGAGCCAATTAAATTCTCTATGAATCCTTTATTGATAGTCTCAATCAACTTCAATAGTTTTGCAACTGTGAAGCTTCAAAGTCTTTTGACTTTCATTTCTATCGAGGTGAGAGAGCTGGAGACAATTTTTATTATTATTTTTTTCTAAATTTCAATCATTTTTCTTTCCACTTGCAAAATCTCAATCCAATTTTTCAAACATTTCCCGCAAAAAAAATAAAATAAAAAGTCACTTAATGTCGTTTTTTGGAAATTTAATAATAAAGAAAATTCAAAAGCCTGGAATAGAAAAAAAATGAATGTCGAAAATCATTTAGAATATTGAGATTTGTGTTTAACGAATGACGTTAGATAATAGTTCTAATTTTGTAACATCCATATCGATATGACCATGTTATGGTTGTGACTATTGATACTTCTAGAGCAGGCGTAGCTAAAGGAACACTTATCCTAACACTCCTCCTCGATTTACAAATTTAACTTAAAATTGTACATCGCAAAATATCAGCTCTCTATGTTTACGAAAACGAACTTACAACACTAGAAAACTAATATCTAAAGAATTTAACATTTTTCAATTTTAATTAAAGAACAAATATTATTGAATTTTTCCTTACACAAGGGTTTTGTCAAAATGTCAGCAATATTATTTTCACTGTTAACATACTGCACATCTAAGACTTTCTTTAACAACAAATCTTTGATAAAATGTTCTTTAATGTCAATATGTTTTCCGCGTTTCGAATTTTCATAACTCTTTGCCATCGAAATCGCACTGACATTGTCCATTTTTAGCGTTATATTTTCAATTTTGCAAAATTCCGAAATTATCCCTTCCAAGTTCACTACTTCTTGTGCTGAAGCCGCCCCTGTCACGTATTGTGCCTCTGCGGTAGACAGCGCCACACATGTTTGCTTCTTAGAAAACCAGCTGATTGGATTCCCAGCATACAGTACTATAGAGCCACTTGTACTCTTTCTGTCGGTCTTGTCTCCAGCCCAATCTGAGTCGGAATATGCTACTAAGTTTTCTGCACCCCTCGTATACATCAATCCAGTATCAACAGTATTTTTCAAATACCTCAGGATTCTTTTGCCTGCAGTCCACAACACTTGAGTTGGTTTGTCCAAATATCGACTAAGATAGGACACCGCATACAAAATATCCGGTCTGGAAGTGCATGCCAAGTACATCAGCGATCCAACTAACTTTCTGTATGGGACATCAATGATTTCTTCTGACTTTTCAACTTGAAAACCTATTATCATAGGTGTTGACACTCCTTTACAGTCTGCCATACCAAAATCTTGTAGAATTTTATTAATATACTTTTTCTGAGTGATACTCATGTTTTCAGAAGTTCTTGATATCTCCATTCCAATGAATCTTCTAATTTCACCCAAATCTTTGGTATTGAGTTTGTTCTTTAAATTATTAACTACATCCTGTACTTTATTTTTGTCTCCTGTGATAATTAAATCATCTACAAAAACAATAAGCCATACATCTTTCTTTTTATAGAGACAGAAATCATACTGAAATCTTTCAAAGTCTAAATCTTTTATTATCTCATTAAATTGGTTATTCCAACACTTTGGACACTCCTTCAGCCCATACAGAGCTCTGTTGAGCTTCAAAACTTTGTTTTTGTCTTCATTTACGCCGTCTGGTATTTTTATGTATACTTCAGATTCAAGTTTTCCATTCAGAAAAGCACTTGGAATGTCAAGTTGACGTACATTCCAATTCTGTTGTAGAGCATGTACTAGAAATGCTCTAATCGTTGACAATCTGGCAACTGGTGCGTGTAAAATCATTTTCCTCCTGAATCTGGAAGCCCTTGGCTACTAATCGAGCCTTCTTTGTACCATCTTCCTTTGTTCGGAAGACCCATCTTGTATCAATTGCATATTTATTTTCCGGAAGTTTAGACAAAGTCCAAGTTTGTAGATTGCTAAGAGACTTCAATTCATGGTTGATAGCATCTTGCCATTCAGAATTTTTCTGAGCTTCTGAAAATGTTTGAGGATCCTCCTGTGATTCTGTAACATCCAAATATGTAGCATACTTATATCTCATAATTTTGAAGATACTGAGGTTTATGTACCTCTCTACCAGTTCTTGTTAGAACAGGCTCTGCATCAGCTATCTCCTCCTCAATTTCGTTTTGTACATCTTTAAAGTCACTGCTGTCTTCATTTTGAACAGAACCAAACTGAGAACTTTCATCAAAACTATTTTCTTCATTTTGTTCTTCATTCTCTTTAATTTCTACTGACCATACTGTAGCATTTTCAATTTCTTATTTAATATGCTACTGTGTTTTGCTCTAGTAGATATGATTCTATATAGAACTATAAAGAAATAAACGAATGAACAACTATCTTTTCTGTGCCCAGATTTTATTACCTTGAGTACCCTTCTACTGAAAGTTTTTTAGCTCAGGTTTGCAAGTTTGGTTAATTGATCTAGGAAGGTTTGATTCAGTACGGAGGGCCCGCTGTTATTGATTAGAATCTTATATAAAGGAGAGATTTTTTCATCATCTCTGTTTGCAAATCCAATTAATAAATAATCTGAGGTTATGATAAATTGTTGTTTACTTCTTTTGATTTTTCATTCCGATCATGTCATTGAACAGCTGTTTTGTCTAGGCGTTTTCTTTAGACCTGTTCTACCTTTTGATATATCGACGGTGATCTGACAATAGCTGCTATGTGCATAAACGTTAATTTTACAGGGGGAATAAAAAACCGTTCTTATTTAAATAAATTTACAACGGAATATCTAAATTTTAAACAGACGTATTAAATATTAATTGAAAGCAGATAGCAGATAGCAGGCTCTATCGTATTGTGCCTAACAAAAATACAAGGCTAACTGTAGAAAAATCTAATTTTTGAATAAAATGTCAGTTAGCAGGTATTGTCAGATCACCGTCGATATGTTCTATAGGCATTTTTCAACATTCACCAGTCATTTTTACACAACCAAACTTCCAGTTCGTATTCTTGGGGTGAAACTGAACACGCTTTTTTCTATAATTTTCTTCAATGTCAAAATTGGAAGTTTGACAAATGAAAGCCTTCTTCCAAAATCTAAATGAAGAATCAGCCCTTTTGATCTTGAGACTTGATACCGAAAGGTTGGTCTCGGCCTATTTGATTTTGGGCGAGACTTTTTGGAATTTTGTGCCAGGGAACTCAAAGTTTAGACTAATTTCTTATTGATAATTGTCTGGAGTCGTCCCTTGGTCATTTTGGATTTTGTTTCGGTAAGTTTTTGAGATTTTCTTCAGGATTATTAACCTACAACACGTGTTTCGTTTCTTCAATAGGACTGTTCCGAGCAGCTTTTGGAAGTTTAAGACTTCACCTTTGGTCTAGAGTATCCCTCAATTTGAGGTAAGATTATTTCTAATATTTGGGGCTCGATTTGTTTTTTATACGAACATCGTTATAGGGTCCTTGTTCTCGGCTGTAGCTAGACAGTCTTAGGCTATAGTTGGACAGGTCCTAGAAAGAGATTCTAAACTAGATCTAGATTGCTCTTAGTTGGCTTTCGTAGCCTTTCTCCAGCAACTCTCTTGGTACCACTCTGGCAGAACCACGTCGAGTTCTACGTTAAACAGATACAACGTGGATAGGACTCATGACTCACTTACCATACCATAGTCTATCTAATAGTGAGACCAAACCTGTAGATAACCTCACTTTGGAAATTTCTGGATTTTCACATACATTTCACTTGTATACATGTAAGTTGCACTTTTACTATTTAGGCAAATCATATATACCTAAATCATCTGACGCCGAATTACGTCAGTACGTGCCTCTTAAATAAAATTCTAGAATTTTACCCTGAGGTTGCCCAAAGAATAACTTTCACCTTTCTGTGTTAAATTTGCCTGTTGGTAGAGTGTAACCCATATTGTTTTTTTTAATCTTCCACAAGTGTTAATAAATAGTTAAAACTGTTTATTTTAAATTCATATATTCATTATTTAAATTTTTTTTTATTTATTCAAATATTCGCAAATTAGGTACAAGCCTAATCCTAAACACCTTTTTTAATAACTTCGTGGCTACTTATTGGCGCAATAGTTAAGTCCTAATTACTTGGTGGCTACACGTTATGGCGCCTTATTATTATTGTTATTATTTTTTAATAAAGAAAGCCAGATACATTATTGTACCTAATTAGTTGTTTTATTGTTAAGCGCTCCAATTGTACAAGTTTTGTTATAACATCAATAAGTAATCTTCCTAGTTAAGTCACAATTAACTTGGTGGCGCCCAAGGGTAAGATGTATACAAGGAACCCATAGACCCATGGCCTCCGGACTGATGCTGACTAGCCGTATGCAGTATAATTAGGCAATTGCCAAAATAAGTACGTTATAATACAATTGTTTTGTCTTCTTTTATCTCTGTATTTCTTTCTTTGGTATTTTTCTCTGTATGTATCTCTTTTCCTTCAAAAAACACAACATCTCTACTAAAAATAATTTTCTTAGTATTTGTATTAATCAGTCTGTATCCTTTTTTATTTTCTCCATAAACCATAAAAAGCAGCTTCTGTGATTTAGGATCCCATTTCTTCCTCAACTCATCTGGCACATGTGCCATAGCTTCACAACCAAAAATTTTCAGCTCTAATAAGTTGGGTTTTTCCTTATTCCAGACTTCATAGGGAGTTTTCCCAAGTACTGCTTTTGTTGGTGATCTATTTATGAGATAGACTGCAGTGTTAACTGCTTCGCCCCAATATTCTTTCGACAAACCAGCATCAGACAACATACTACGAGCTCTCTCACAAATTGTCCTATTCGCCTTCTCACTAACCCCATTTTGTTGCGGAGTGTATCGAACAGTTGTCTGGTGTATAATACCAGAGTCATCAAGTACCTTCTTGAATTTCTTATTCACATATTCAGTACCATTGTCAGTTCTGAGTATTTTTATTTTAGAGTCAGTCTGATTCTCAACAAGTTGCTTAAATTGTTGAAAAACTTCAACTACTTGACTTTTTTCTGATAGAAAATATGTAAATATAAATCTTGAAAAATTATCAATTAGAGTGAAAATGTACTTACAGCCGCCTATTGATGCTACTTCCATTGGCCCAAAGAGGTCGCTATGAACCAGCTGTAGTACAGTGCCTCTATACTACAGTGGCTAAATAAACCTTTACATACAGTGGCGACAATAGAGGTCCCGCCGCCATCTTGTTCCCAACCTCTTGTTTCTTTTAAATATGAATTTATAGGATTTGAATAGACCTATTTCATAAAAAATTGAAATCGACGTATTTGATGACTATTATTAGGTCCATCAAATAGATTGTTTTCCATGTTTTATGATGGATATTCACCTAAATCCCATATATTCATTTTTGACATAAGCAATAGGTGGGGACAAGATGGCAGCGTTTTCAATATAAATATATGGGATTTTAGAACCAATCAAAAATAAGACAACAATTGTCGCCACTGTGGGTAATAGAGTTACTGTACTCTATACAAGACAGTGGCGACAATTGAGGGACCAATTTTTGATTGGTTCGTATATTTGCCGCCATCTTGTTGCAAAAACGTTCTTGTTTACATTGTTTTCATGAGAATATGGCTGTTATTTTGTGAATTTTGTGATTTTCTAATTTATTAATTGGATTCTGGTAGTTATTATTGCTCATTATACATAGATACAATAGAAACTTTTGTATATTGAACATTAATCTGTGCGATATTTCCAGTTGGCGTCTCAATTTTGTTCAGATTCAAAAACTTTGTGTTGGGGGTGAGTACCTAATATTATTAACAATATTTCTAAATTGTCAAACGAATTTCCAAATATTGAATGAAAAAATAGTTTAAAATCTGTGAGAATCCATAGTTTTATATGTACTGGAGTCTACAATTAAAGGTATTTAAAGGATTTTCAATATTATAATTTTAGGTTAGGTCGTTAGGATACGAAAATAATGCCAGGTTGTGCTGCCGTTGCAGCAATTCTGAAGAAAAAAGGGATTCTTGATGAAACGCTTTTCACGGAATCCGGAAAGAAGGAAACAATGGCTTATAAACACGAAAAGGAGGAATTGGACTCCTACGTTGTTTATTGCGCAGCGAGCAAACCAATTAGCTGCCTCTTTGTTTAACACAGGCAAATAGAAAAGGACAGCAACAGTTTTACCATCAACCTACAGTGCCTCTATACAAGTTTCATCAAATTAATTTCTTTTTAACGCCAGATTACAGCTATGTCGCATATATTAAAGTTAGCAACAACATGGCGGGTGGGCGGAGCTAACTCCCCATTGTCGCCACTGTTATAAGAGTATTAATAGAGTCACTGTAGCTGTAGAATCTCATGCTGCAACGGAATGGCTTTCGACTATGTTTGCCTTCAACACAGGAAATACACGGCTCTGAAGATATATTTATTTTGTTCAAACCAGTAGACATACTTGCCAGCAACTGCATTGCCTTTCGATTCAAGTGGCCAAGTCTTCTGTGCCATAAATCACTTGAGTGTTCACTTACACAAGAATACATTGACCTCCATTTTGACAGACATTGGTATTGGTACTTAACTGATAAATACCATTTTGCTCAAACCCTGTTGCAACAACTTGATTCGACACGTCAATAATCCTTGCTCCAGACTTGTCAAAAATGACCTTGTGCCCTTTTCGCACAATTTTACTGATCGACAACAAATTTACTGCTGCTTCAGGAGCATACATAACCTCATTTGCAGGAACCACCTTATCTTAACCATCTATTTTCACACTGATGTCCACTGTCCCTTTCGATACAATGTTTATGTCACTATTACTTGCAGTCTTAATTTTGCCACTGTTTTTGGTAGAATTCATTTACCAGTCATTATTTTTAGTCAAATGGACAGAGGCACAAGAGTCTAAGAACCATGCATCACTGTTTACTTGCTGTGAAGATAAACATGCTAGAAAAGCTGTGTTGTTACTTTTCTTTCTTTCACCCTGATTATCTTGTGAGTTGCCTGCTCTACATTGAGACTTATAGTGACCCATTTTGCCACATCCGAAGCACTTCACTTTGTTTCTTGTGTATACTTTTTACCTGAACCTCTTTCTGAGTACATTGCTGCATTCGAGCCAGCTGATTTTGAATCAGAACTTGATTAAACATCTTGCAGCAACTTCACTTTAATTGAATCACCTGTAATCTGTGTTCCACTACTCTCAAGACCCATTATCATTGGCCTGTATTCTTTCGGCAACCCTGCCAGCAAGAGAGTGCCGACCCACTCATCATCCACTTCGAAATTCATTGCATTTAACTTATGTGATGTTGAAATGATGGTGTCACAATATTCTTCTACTGAACTACAGTCTTCTAACTTGGTAGTTACTAAAGCCCTTAAAAGACCAACCTTTCTTGTTAGTCCTGAATCTTCAAAAGCTTTTTCAAAGTTTTGCCAAGCATCTTTAGCTTTTGCAGCAGTCTTCAAATGGGAATAATTTAACTTATCCACAGACAAGATTATTTTAGAAAGTGCTTTCTTGTCTTTCTTCTCATCCACTTCGGTACCTTCGACAACTTTCCACAAGTCATCTAATTCTAAAAGTGCCTTCATAGTGAACTTCCACTCGCTATAATTGTCCCGACCATAGTCAATTTATCAATCGACACAAATGATGATGAACTGCTTGCCATTTTCTTTTGAGTTTTAGCACAGAACAAAACTTTTAATTTACACAGTGACTTTGGGCATATCTGGGCCCATAACCTGTTAGAGTTATTTTGTGGAATAAAGCTAGAAGAAAGTTTTACTATTAGAAATAAACTAAAGATTTTATTAATAACAAAACATTCTACCATGAAGATTACAACAAGATTGCTATATCGATAACCTCACTTTGTTGACGTTACTAACATCTGACAGATATGGTTGTGACTATTGATACTACTAGAGCAGGCGTGGCTAAACGAACGCTTATCCTAACAGACCAATCCTCATCGAAAGCGTATCGATCTTTACATCGTATCAATTAGTCCTCCTGTGATTTTTTCCCCCTTGTTCCAGGCCTGTCCGCCTTATTGTCTCCATCTCCATGAACCTGTAGCAGCAACTCAAAATATTACCTCAAAAAAAACCCACACCTAAATATATTCAGTGTGATGAAGGATAAGAATTTTTCATCATCAAACCCCCATTAGAATGCATCTTGGGTAGCCTTATACGTGCACTCAATGTTTAATTCCCTTTAGAAATAAAACCACTAACCAACAATCGATCGAAATACCTTTGAACCTAAACAACTTTACGTCATATTTAAAAACTTCTTTTGTTCCCTTGTTGGCTGAAGTGAAAAAAAAAAAAAAACAACCAAGTTGGCTTATTAATAAACCACACGCCACAGGAAACCAGGATTTTTAAATATCCTGCAGCAATATTAATTATGAATTTATTTCGTTTCCAGCACGTGTAGGATTTAAAACAGAAAATGCGTAAAGAAATTAGGTGCAAATTCTCTGCGCAAAGAAACCTTGTGCATGACCCATTTTGCCGAGGCCAAAATGTTCAATGGCAACAAGAAAGTAATTACTATTTTGTTGATAAATGGATTAGCCTCAAAGTTTCTCGTAATCTACACACATTGATAATTCAAACAAAGTTTTAGGGTGTTGTGGGGCGTTTATTAGCACAGCTCAAGAGACTGTTGATGAGCAAATATTTGTTCATTATCGGAAGTAATTAGTTTATTATCCAGTGGCATTTGGTTTGTGATTTGATCAAGTTTATTATTTCAATGTATTGAATAATAAAGTCTGATAACTATTCTTAGTTTGAGCAATAGTAGATCCAAACTTGAACTCGAGAAGCTTGAAAATGAACTGTCAGGCTTGAAAATACCTATAGTTTTCGAGTATGCCATATGTCCGAAAAAAGTCAATTTATGCTTGTAAAGCTCTCATTCCCAAAAGAAACGAAATATTCAAGTTTCCAATTAGGAATTGTTTTAATAAACTTTAAAATGTCGCCTTTGGTTCTTGAGTTGGTGCAATTTTATAAAGTTTTAAGAGTGCCTAGAATAGAATTTGTATGCCTTAATTTAAATTTTATCTCTGAGGGAAATTTAGAAAGAAAAAAAAAACGAAAATTCAAGAGCCGGGAATAGACAAAAATTGAGCAGGAAAAATTGTGAAATGAAGATAAATTTTGCATAGACTCAATAGATGGTGCAACTCACATCCGCTAAAATTTCTTGAAATATTAATCAAATTTCTTTTTCCTTTTCAGTACATAAGAGTTGCTCACGACACAAAACCCGACCACCTTATGCAACTGATCTCCCGGGAATGGGGCCTGGAACTGCCCAAACTGCTCATCTCGATCCAAGGCGGCAAGGCCAACTTCGAACTGCAACCGAAGCTCAAAAAAGTACTGCGCAAAGGACTGCTCAAAGCCGCCAGATCGACAGGCGCTTGGATTTTTACCGGAGGGACCAACACAGGTAAATAATTATCAAGTTTCCGTAAATTTTGCATATAGCAATTCCAATTGTAGAATATTATTTGTCTAGAGTAGGTATAGATAATTATTATGGCAATGTAGTTTCCGAAAACATGGGTTCGGATTATGCGGGGACGGAATTATTACGGGCACGTGTGCAAATTGTATTATGCAAGGATGATAATTATTAATCTTGCTGGAAAGTTTCAGTTTAGTTTTGGCTAGAAAACTCGTATTTTTTGGATTCAAATTGTTTGAGTTGAATAAATCTCCTTTTTTATTTGTTAATGTAATTCTTCTTTCTTATATACCAACAACCCAATTTACTACTCTTTTGTTGAACCCCATACTATATTAATTAGTTTTAAAATTGGATTACCCTACCATATAAGTTGTTAATGTAATTCTTCTTTCTTATATACCAACCACCTAATATACTACCCTTTTGTTCAGCCCCATACTATATTAATTTATTTTAAAATTGGATTACCCTACCATATAAGCTTTTGAAGATTCTTTTCCTACTTGAAAGCGTATCTACACAATTTATTTGAGGATGCTTTTATGTTTTTAGGGTGTTTACGCATGAAGAAACTTATGTACTTAAAGGATTTTGAAATAATGGCAAACTGTAAAAATAAATAGCAATATTATCTTGACTGGATTATGGGATCACGAAAATAACATTTCAGTTCTGAACTTTCATTTTGGTCAAAGGACTTTGTTCATTTCATGTTAATCAATATTAATTATCAATAATCATCTTCTTCGTGTATTTTGTATTTGTATTGTATTTTGATAATAATTTTTGATAAATTCCCATCATTCTACATTATGCAATTAGAAACGAATTTTGTGGGAAATTTTTGTAGACACAGTCTATAAAGAAAAATAATACCATAATTTCCTATCTTTCTATAAAACAAACACTTTCTCTCTCATATACCTACACACCACAGTCTTCAAATGAACAAATCAGAAAAACATTATTCTTCTTCTTCTTGTTTACCAATGGCCCCTTGTCGTCAAACAACAGGCAGCCAGAATCCTATGACTTGTGTCCTTTAGTACATCGGAGTGGGGTAAACCCACTTGCCAATAGTTTAGGTTTCCATTGGGGATGAGTACGTAATTTTTTGCTGTGGCATGTACAGCAGGGAATTTGGAAACGCATATAACCACCAATCACATTATATAGGCATTAGTACCTAATTGCATTCTTAATCAACAAAACATCTTTACAATAACGACTGTAACCATGAACCACTGCTTATATCAAACTTCTTGATACAATCCATAACCATAACTGCTTCTCTGCTGGTTGGGTTTGCAAGAATTTCTTCTATCTGTATTGGACCTCCTACCATCTTGTTCAGTCTTGAATACCACCAATCTGTCAGCTCACAGTTCAAGAGCACATGATTGATATCACCCACTTCACCACATTCACAATTCTCGTTGTCCTGCATGCCAATTTTGTGTTTAAGTATGGGGCAATATGTAGTTTTCATTCTGCAAAAAAAAACACTAGTTTTTTTGCGGTGTTCTTTGAGGTTTCTTCGTTAATTTTTAGTATTGGCTCAAATAATTTCTACCTTTATTGGTAAATTCCACAGCCCATTGCCTGCATGTCTCTTGCTTAGCTACTCTGAATAGATCATCATAGTGTTTTGTTCTGCTGATAGCATTATTTGCCTCTTGGCTTCTTCCAGCAAGTCTATCTGTCTTCTCATTTCGTGTTATGCCTGTATGACTAGACACTCACAGTATTTTGATTTCCTTTTCTCCATACTGCATACAATTTTCAAAAGAGCATTTTCAGAATCCGATATTCTTAACAGCTTTTCCTGTGTCAATCTCTAACGTATTGAGGGCCGAATATATCTATGTCTAGCACCTTTGCTGAAAATATGTTGGTTACATCCTAGCATCTCCCTATCATTGAGATTTTCTTTGTGTTGTTGTATATTCCAATTCCGCAATGTTGATATTGGCTGCAAAGATATGCATCTGTATATATTTTTTCATGGTCCGAGTATTCCTTCAACAACTCCTGTAATAAGAGTTGGTCATCTGGACTGAACTTTCGTATGTTTGAATCCACCCAGTCTATTTTGCGCAGTTGAGTTGTCATATCCTCTTCGAAACATGGCAGATTGTCCGATCTTTCCAATATTCCTATGTGAGTCAACACATAATCCACCCCCTCCATTACCGCCGCAGCGCACTTGGTTCATCAATAAGGAGGATCCTGATTGTAACAAGCATAGGAGTTGAGTATCACCCTATTGACCTCATCCTCTCTAAAAGCTACTTTTCTGAGCATCAACTTTGTAAGTTCGTTTATTCCTTCGCTGTATCAATGGGATTTCTGCTGCTTCAGGTAACAACGCCATTATGGGAGTGCTCTCAATGCAGCCAGTCACCACTCTCAAGGCCTGGTACTGAATGCGATGCATTTTGCTAGAATTCATCTTGCTTATGTGGTAAATTGCTTGCAGCCCTTATCAAAATGGGTTCTAACCAGCCCTTTATAAATGTTCAACAATATATTTGGGTCAGCGCCCCGTACCAGGTTCCTGTAATTGCTCTCATTATGTTAATTCCTTTCTGCGCCTTGTTAATCACATACTCAATGTGTTCGTTCCACTTCAATTTCCTGTCCAAGTACTTATAATTTTCAACCCACTCATGTCAATCTGTTCAAACCTGCACTTTTCTTATACTTTCTTCCATCTTTTTACCAGCTGCAAACAGAACAATGACATCGGCATATTGCAATGCACCAGCCTCGCCTGCCACGATTTCCTGAATTTGATTGGTGTACATGTTGAATAACAGAGGACTCAGAGGCGATCCCTGCGGCCACCCTATGTGTGCTGTTTGTGGTTTAGGTTTCCATTGAACGGTTCTCTTATAGTTATATTTCTATCTAAATACAAGTTATCTAAGAATTTCCAATAATACATTATTATAAGCAGCCCGAATAGGCACATACTATTGGTAAATACCCATTTTGGACTATATTAAAATATTTTTTTTCTCCAAGAAATGTTCTAACCGTGTCTTAATCATGCTTTCCATTCATTTACCAAGGCATGAGCCTATGAGGTCAAAGCTATTGGTCTGTATGCTTTAAAGTCTTTGGGGTCTTTCTTGCGTTTTTTAAGCGAAATGACGATCTGGTTTCTCTACGCCCGCGAAATACCTGTCTCCTGTCTAAGGATTCCATTAAAAAGTTGCAGCAAGGTACTTTTCATAAAAGTCGGAAGTCTTGACGCCCCAAGTACTCTATGTAATAGGATCGTTTCATGATTTTTTTTTATTTTTTCAATGAATTAGGCACATCAAAATCTATTCTTGGTTTTTTTCCCGCATTTTTTAGAATAATATTAAAGGAGATATTTCAATTTGAAATTTTACTATTATTCGTTATTTTTTAAATTGTAATGACGTCACAAGGCGCGCTTGCGCACTGTATTTCTAAATTTAAGTTTGCATCACTGACAAAATTTCCTAGTTGTCTAGTTGGCTGCAATGCCACTGGCCCATCTCCTGTCTTCTTTTAGAGGTTATGTCAGTTATTTTGTTTATTTTGATTCGCCTGTCTAGTCTGGTTGATTTATAAAATGAAAAATAAATACTTATTTCATCCGTTTATTTGGTCGGTTTATGTGAGAAGATGGATAGTGGATTTATTAAAGCCTCCAGCGAAAATTTACCTGAACTTAATTGTGCTCGAATTTATGTGATGTTGCAAGAGATTTTTGCCAAAAATACGGATTATTTAAGTGCAGAAATAAGAGGAGTCAAAACCTAAAGGTGGGTAGTGAAATATTGGCATAATTATTGTATTGGTTTAGCTTTGGCCCATTATTATATTACATTTTTAGTAGCAGGGTAACAGTTTTATAGTTTCATATATTTTTAGGTCAGCGAGAGCCAGTTATGGTGACAATGCTATTGGCTATGTGCATTAATGTGCAGTTGAAAAGAGACAGCAGAATATCCTCTGTTAGGAGCATCGCCAGATGGAATAAGCAAAGAATTTGTGATTGAAGTTTAATGTCCTAGCAAGAAGGAGACTGTGAAAAACTACATTAAGGAAAATGGAAATATAATGACGAAATACATGTGCCAACTTCAGTCTTCAGTTACAAATGTTATTGTGTAACAGACAAAAAGGACTGTTTTGTGTGGCAAGTCCCAAATTTGGAGAGGATAATGAAGTGACAATTTTTGAATTAGACTTAAACATTAGGTTTATTAAAGTAATTATTGAATCAGCTAAAGAATTTTGGAAGAAAAATGTATTTTCAGTCATTTTGAATAAAAATATATGATTGATTTGGGAGTCTGGTAGTTTTCTTCTTTACATTATTTATGCAATAAAAGTACCCTTTTAATCCCCAGGATTAAATTTCACTTTATTTCCCAAGGGATTAACTTTTTACTTCATTTCCCGTGGAGTAAATGGAACGGGGAATAAAAGGGTACTCCAAAGTTGAGGGAATAAAAAACACTTTAGTCCTGAGATGTATACACTATTTTATGTACCATCGTCACCAAAAGTAACTGGGACAGCATCACATTAGCTCTTGTCCTATTACATCAATTTTATTGTCAAACATTTGTCAAACTATGAATCAAATGCATTGAAATGAATGACAGTAGAATTAGTCCAAGAGATTATTATGCATTATTTGTGTCCCAGATACTTTTGGTGACGATGGTACTTTAGAGGGATCAAAAGTACCCTTTTAATTTTTAATCCCTAAAGTGCATATGATAGTGTATACACTTCAGGACTAAAGTGTTTTTTAATCCCTGAACAAATTATAGCCCTCACTTCGGGATTAAAAGTACCACTTTAGTCTCTAGGTGTATAATGTACTATTTTGGCAGTAAAAAAAAGTAATAGGTATTTTTTTTATACAATATATTCAAAAAAGCATTTTTTTCTAGCTTCGACATAAAATTTATTTGATTAATGGCAAATTC